CTACAATCCATGGATGCATGCCACCCACATCAAGCATGTGCCCACACTCAGCGAGCTAGTAGTTTCTCCCCTGATCAGCGATCTTAGCAAGTGACAAGAAAAACCTGCACATCTCTGAGGTACAGGAACCTGAGTAACTCAGAGTCGACTGGACTGCAGAACAGAGGCCCAGAACAGCTGGCCCATATCAGAGAGCCAGGGCTCACTGTGACTGACCTTAACGAGCACTACCTCGATAAACAGGCCTTCACCCGACTATCTGGTAATTATTCAAAACACATGACCCAGGTATAAACCTATAACCCCTGATAAAAAAGCAACTGTGTTTGGGAGTCTTCAAAGTTCTGGACACGGATTCTGTGGTGGGTGTACCACACTGAGTATGTGCTTCATGGTCTTGATAACCCAAAAATGGCTAAAATGGCTGATTTTATGTCATATACATTATACTCCAATTAAAAACAAAAGCAACACATACTGACCCCCAAGGGTGTTTCTACTGGAGTTCTCCCGAACCCACCCCAGGTAGTGCCTTACCAGGTTCCCCCTGCCACAGACAAGATGGATCCTGGTGCTGTAGGTGGTCTTCCGGCCGTCACTACTGGTGCAGGCCGAGCCATTCACATACTCTAAGAGGAGGCTACCACTCTCCTCCACCACAGGGCCTGTCTTTGCAACTCCCAGGTTACTGATGGACACGACCTCAGCCAAGGAGCCCTGCAACACAGTGTCTGTTAGGCGTGCCAGGAAAGTAGCTGACTGCATCGCTAACAAAGTCACCTGTGAATCACGGTGGTCATGTCCCAGGAAGTAGTGTCTAAGAACTATGGAATACTGAACCCTGCTCCTAGGAGAACTACGTAATATACAGTGAGCTCGCCTTATGTGAGGATTTCTTACATGGTTTTGATCAAGCATGGTCACAAATATATACTATCCAAAAGAAATTTGGAAAACAAAAATTTTTAATTCCCACATACATATTACAGAGCTTGGATGACACAGAGAAGCCCAGTCAGTCCCATGTTATCATTAGTTGTATTTAAATTCTTCGATCTGCTGTTTCCCTGCCCTTACTTTTGTGAAAATATACCTCCTAATAAAGCAAATAGTGCCCCAAAAGTTAAGTGAAAGTTTGAGGTCTGTTGAAGGTCGCCTGTCTTCAGTGGATGCTGACCAGCGCTAGAGTCACAGGAAAAGGAATCGAGGACTCACAGTATTTGAGATACAGAGCATGGAGTAAGATCCAGGATTTGGTGAGCAGTACTGATACACACAGCAGTAATTTTTCTGACAGTAATGGAGCCTACTTGGTGTAGTTTCATGTTACAATGCTCAGACCCGCCATGCATATGGCCGGTAAATTTGAGTAATCTTAGAGCACAGTCTGCTTGGAACCACACACCCGTGGATACCAAGGGTCTGCTGCACACACACTATGTAGACTACAGTCTGGTAGTTACATCCTATGAAGTTGCTACTAACAAGAATTCCTAAATAAACCACTTCTCTGAGGGGGGCTGTGTAATAGGTACACGTAACTGACCTACATTATGGTCTTAAGCCCTAAAAATGACTCATGCTGACAGATTCCACTATTTCATTTCACAAAAGGAAAAAGGAGGCTGAGAAGTGTTAAGCAATTCAGTCGAGACCATTCTGCTAACAGATGCCAGACTTGGACCCAAACCTCACCCAACCGCTCCAGAACTAGAGCTTCTTGCACTGCCTGCCCCCACCTCTCCATCCTCTGGTCATCTCAGTATGAGGCCAAAACAACTAGGCCACTAGCTGTGCATGCTGAGCCACTATGCACACCCAAAAATAATCAAGAAAGTCTCTACATGCTGATTTGGGGGCTACAAGTGTTGGTGTGCAGGGAAACTCGAGAAGGCAGAACTCTGCATAATGAAGATAGGCTGTGCTGTGAGGCCCTGCTCCAATAGAGAACACATGCACAGATAAGACACACCACCAGAGTGCGCCACCAGCATGGGCCAAAAGGTCACTCCTGGCACACATATGCTTGGAAACTTCGAGGAAACACACAAAAGCTCTAGCAGTCTCTGCGGTCCCGCAGGTGACAGGCACGCGCAGCTCAGCACCCTGAATGGCATAAACACTTGGAGCTAGTTTATCCAGAGCAAAATGTCTCTACAAGTATCTGCCGATGCACTCACAGATACCTGAACTCAGGCTATTAGTAGCTTCCCCTGTCCTTTATTTGATAAAAGGCAGCCAACACCACAGCACTTTCCTGAAGTTTTAAGTCCAAACAAAGATTCAAGTGTGATACACACTGTTCAGAAGGTAGATTAGTTTACAGAGAGGCCCTGCTCTCAAGGCTTTGCTTGAGTGGCCAGGCCTGCTTTATCTACCCATTAATCCACACTGTCATGAGGAAAGATGATCACTCACCTGGTTATTTTCATACTTCATCTGGCAAGCCGATGCGTATCGATCGCAGCCTGGCACAGGATTCAGAGGCCGGCACACGTTTATGTAGTATTTCCTCCATGTGACGTGTTCCCTCGAGTTGTCCATGGCATACCAGTTTCCTCCACGACTGCCTTCAGACTTTACTAGGCTGAAATTCCACAGCAGAAGGCAGGTTTTTAAAAAGCTTACACAGTTCCAGCTGGCAACTTATTTCTAAGTAATTAGAGAAATAAACACCTATCAAATGGAAGGCTCAAACCACAAAGCGGGCTCACCATCCTCTGCATGCATCCTCTGCATGCACAGCGATTACATCTGACTGTCACGAGTTCTGTATGCAGTGGATTCCTTAAAATGCCCTTCCACTCTGCACTGCATCATTGCTTTAAATGATGAAGCTACAGACTGAGCGCGTGCCATAGCAAAGAACAACTGCTAACAAGATCAGACCTACAATTCCTTCTGCTTCAACCTTCCCGCTCTGTCCCTGCATTCTCAGCGCCAACTCCACCTCGTGACCAGCTCCGTCCGTGCTCACCAGCAATCACACCAGACAAAGAACCAGGGCTGGCTGACTCTACCCACCTGGAAAGATCATACTGCTCCATTGTGGAGGGGTCGGTCACCACGCACTCCAGGGGCTCCTCTGGGCAGGCATAACTGGTGTACCACCGGAAGTTGTAGGTTGAGTTGTCCTCTTCCTAATCGCATGTCAAGGAGGAAAGAGGGGTGGGTGGTACTACAGTCTGAATATGGAGTGTCCTTCAAAGCCTATGTGGTAAAGTTGTGGACCTAGCTTAGCACAACCTTTAAGAGGTGAAGCACACAGGTGGGAGGTCTTTAAGTCATTTGAGATGTGCCTAAGCGGATGATGGGACATTGGTCTCTTTCTCACTCTCTCTGTGCGTCCTGGCCATGAGGATAGTGGCTTTGCTCTGGCACAGGTTCTCTGTCATGATGTGGGCGGGGAGGGCTCACCATAAGCCCAAACCAACCATAGATTGAAGTCTCTGAAACTATGAGCCTAAATAAACCTTTCCTAAGTTTATTGCCTCACGTATTTGCTATAGTGTCAGAAAACTAACACAGATAGCAAAAAAGGGAAACATTAGGCAAAGACAGCATTTAAAAAAATAGTAATAAAGACATCATGTTAAATAAAGACTGCATGAAAGAAAGTTTACTTTGTCCATCTTCTTTCATTGTACTGAAAGGAAGATTGCCTGGGAAAAAATTAAGATGGCAATTTGGCCTTGGTTAAGTGGAAATAAAGGATAATTTTTGATGCTTTTGCATATTTTGTATCCAAAATCAACAGGGCTGTGGACTATCATTGAGGTGTATGGTGCTTTAACAAATGAATAAATACTGCCTATGCACCCTGACAAATCTAAAACAGTCTCAAGAATACCCACGGAAAAACCTCAGTGGACAAGTCCTACCTGATATTCGGGGAAACCCACTCCGGCATCTCGGTCACAAAGGAAAGTGATCAGTGTTGCTCTTGGTGTGTGCTTTTCATTGTTATAGGGTGTTCCATCCTTGTAGCTCAACTGGATCATTCCATCATAGTATGAAAGCTTAGCATTACTTAGTCCCAGGTTCCAAGACTTCTTATCACTGAAATAAATACACAAAATTCCCAATTCCAAGCTCTCCAAGGCTGCACATGGACAGAAAAGCCAATAAGCAGAGTGGAGGGTGGAGGGGACGGGGGAGGGTACACACAGGGCTGCAGCCCACAAGAATCCCATATGATCTCTAACTGCATGTGAAGGAGGGCTTCCCACCTGGACCCAAATCTACTCTCAGCGCTACTGACTTAAAAGCTCAATTCACTTCATTTGAACTAATACTGCACAGAATGGAGAAATACATACATAAACATCCACAAACTGAGAAGTGCAAAATACACAAAAGAGGGCACTGTATAAGCCCACCCCTCTTCCCTACCACATCACTTATTCCTTTAAGTTAAACTCCTGGCATCCTGTAGTTTTTTGGCCAAGTATTCTCAGTGGTTAAAGGCTTATCATATAAAGCAATGATGTTAGCAGAGACCATACCTATTCCCAAATAAAATATTTGTTAGCACATTGCCTAGCAAGTGTAAAGCCTGGAGTTCAAACCCCAGTACCATCAAAACAACAAGAGCAAAAATATTTGTTAGAACAAAATGCCAAAGAACAGACCCGCAATGAGAAGTCACTTGCCTTTTGGCTACCTGGCAGGCCCCAGAGTCTGTCTGACAGAAGTCCATGGACACTGCGCCACAAACATTTATATAGAAGTCATACTTCTCTGTCCCAACCTTATAGGCACCATTTTTCTTTGTGAGAGGTGACAAATCAAATGAGAACCCTAAAAATAAAAACAACAGAAGGATGTAAGACCAGTCAGAAAACAGTCAACAAGGTGACCTCACCCCAGTTTTAGAAGCAATTCTTGCAACAGGAAGAGAAAAGTCAGAAAAGACACTTTTCCCCTCAGGCTGCCAATTCTGTAATGACAAACATTTCCCGTGAAGATGGAGTTCACACCACCTTCCCTTTATTCATAACTGCTAGTCTCATAAAATACTGGTATGTTCAGGCAGGACAACTCAGTCCAATGGCCTTCTTATACCGTCTCCCCAGGTTTCTGGGCTAGGACTCATGCAAATGCCTTTCAAACATGAGTGACTCCCTTCTGCTCAAGCAAACCCAACCCACCCATAAACTGAAGATGGTATCTTCAATAGCCCAACCCCAAACGCCAGGTGTTTGGAATTCTGGTCAAACCACATTAACAGAATTCTAAAGCAGGTTGCCTCTGAAGCACTCACAGAAAGGGTTTAGAAAGGCCTTATGCTAGCTCCAAGTCACATTAGACAACAGGGGCACTGCATAGACACACACCTGCCTGGGAATCGAAGACTGTACAGTTCTCTCCTTCCGTCTTCGACAGCACACAGGCAGCTGCTGTGTGCCACTCGAACTCATAGAAGCATCCATTATCCCCAGAAGTTCTCAACACTGGAGCACTTTCTAGATCACCTGTCAGAGGGAAGGAAAAAAATCAATCATTAAATCTTTCCTTATTCTTGCTCTATTAATAGCCTTGGAAGGAATGGCAAGAAATGAGGTACAACACCTTCAGGGGCAGAAAATGGCCCTATAAATACCGTATGATTCAAATTTGAAGAGGTCACTAGAATAGTAAAGTCTGCAGAGAGAAAACAGAATGATGGCTGCAAGAGGCTAGGGGAACAGAGAGAGTTTAAGGGATACTGAGATTGGGAAGATGAAAACGCTCTAGAGGTGGATGGTGGTAGTGTTTGCAAAACCACGTGGATGTACTTAATACCCCCACTGAAAAGGATTACCATGATAGTATGCTATGCAGGGCTGCAGATGTGACTCAAGAGGTAGAGCACATGTCTAGTAAGCACTAAGCCCTGAGTTCAAACCCAAGTACCAAAAAAAAAAAAAATTGTTATACATACAACTTTTAAAAATTATTAAAATGGTAAAATTTATACCATGTATATTTTACCACAATATAACAAGAAAAAAAGTCCTAAATTTAAAAAAGCTAGAAAGAAAAAAATCATCACCTTTGACCTCCTACCTCCTATATGGCAGCTGGGAATTTATACAAAGGAAATATTTCAGTGAGAGGTGGAGACAGGATATGCACTACACAATTCCCATGCTGGAAACATGCTACCCAACAATAGGGCTGATGCTTAAAAACAGTAGGACCCTGCCATGTCAACAAGGAAATCCCTAAACTTTATCAATAGAACCACACCACACAGCATTCACAAAACTGACAGTTTGAAGAACATTAAAATATGTGAATACAGATCTTTACTCAGAAAAAAACAAAGTGTACACTTACAAATAAAGGTGAGTGAAAATGAACACTACTTAAATGGTAAAACTATAGACAACATTTTGAGACCATTTATCATTTACCCATCCTTTGGAGGAAATTCAGCACCCCACATTGCTGATCCTGTATCAGTCCCAAAGAACAAGTCACTGTGCAGGGACTAATGACTCATTTGGAAAATAACAACACAACTCCCTGTTCATACCATATGGTTTCTCCATTTCTGGGCTAAAATCCAACTAACCGGTCTCCCTTTGCCAGAAACCAGGGAGCCTGAAGTGCCGGGCACTACCCCTTCTCTATCTGATCCCTCTGCAGAGATGAAGAGGAGCAGAAAAAGGAGACATGCCAGCACACCTCAGGCAAAAGGCACTAAACCATTCTCTTCTTAGTGTTACCTGGCTTGCACACAAGTGTGACGTTAGTTGTTATTTTCTTGCCCCCAGGACAATCATCACCATCTGAGTAAGAGAGCTGAATGTTTCCTTTCTCTCTTGAGGGAGAAGAGACAAACTTTCCCAGGTTTTTACTTCCAGTCTTATCTGGAAAGAGGAATAAAGGGGAACAAAAGGCACAGTGAAAAGTTATCATGTGCGGACAGAGAGGTAGCAAAGATCAGAAGGTGTACCCTGGCCCCTTCCCTGCCCACTCAAGCTGGCTGGGATGGAAATGGTCGCTCTTGAGTGGTAAATCTGAGCGTAACAGTGACATTAAGAACCCCAGGCCTAGCAGGAAAGTGTCATAAATGATACACTATGTCATCCAGGGGCACGAGGACAGAGTGGCAGCATAAGGGTCGTCTCCATCTGTAAGTAACACTATCCACATTTCTGGAGCCTTGGTTTATAGTCAAGGGCTGGGCTTTGTCCCTGCTCATGTGGGAGCTCACTAAACCCACCAAGCAACCCAAGCAGGTAGACACTGAATTCTTGGCTCAGTTACTTTTTGCTATAAAGTATTAAAGCTCCACCCCACCCCCCAATCCTTCATAAGACATGGACAAAACTACACCTGCTTTTAACGACACAGCTCTAGTTCTAAATACCAGGGTAATTCCTTACCTCCAACCAAGCCTCATGATGCCTTCTCAAATGTTTGCAACATGTTCTCATTACTCTCACTGTCTGGCATTTTCAGGGTACATCACAAATGAGAAACAACTGAACCTCTCTATCATATTGAGATACCTCTGTAATATCTACAGCACCAAAACAATGAGAACGAGAAAAACCAGAGGCCACATGCATTTATCCAAAGGCTCCAGCAGGTGCCATGTCCCCTAAACCATAACGTCTGAACAAATTAGGGACGAGGTACAGTGACTCACACCTGTAATCCCAGCTTCTCAGGAGGCAAAGATTGAGAGGATCATGGTTTGAGGCCAGCCTGGGCAAAAAGTTAATGAGACCCACCCCTCCCCCATCTCAATCAATAAGCCAGGCATAGTCACACGCCTGTAGTCCCAGCCATATGGGAGGACACAGGTCGGGGGACTGTGATCCAAGACCAGCCCCTGGCAAAAAAACACAAAAACCTATCTGAAAAATAAAGCAGAAAAGGGCTTGAGGCATGGCTCAAGTGGGAGAGCACCTGCCTAGCAAGTTCAAGGCCCTAAGCTCAAACTCCAGTACCACCAAAAAAGAAAAAAAAGTCAACTTTACAAAAGCACTAGCAATGTTATTCTTCAGGCTACAAAATGAAAAGACAGTCAAGTCCCCCAGTGTGTTTCTAGTTATGGCTTCAGACAACAACAGGAGGCTTTGGCAAATCTAGAGATTGCACTGTGTACCCAGCTGCAATGTCGCTGGAGTCATTAAAAATTGTTTTTATGACTGCCCAAGTGACTCAAGTAGTAGAGCACCTGCTTAGCAAGTGTGAGGCCCAGAGTTCAGAGCCCCAACCCAAAACCATTCTTTACCATCTTTTATGCTTGAACCCAGAAACAAGGAACCTGAGATGGCCCATAGGAGGGTTCACTCCACAGGAAGAATCTGGGCTCCATCCACTTCTACTTCAGGAAAAGAGGCATATGCACCTTCCCTCTGGGGACAACTCACCGACTGCACACACAGCAGCTTCTTCAGGACAGTTTCTGGCCCTGCCCTCCGGCAGCACTCGGTGGCAGACATTAATGAAGAAATACTTCTTTTCTGTTTCTGTCTGGCTGCCATCCACAGCTTCCCAATTCTGCTCTGATTCTGTAACCAGAAAATAAGGTTCTTTAGCCAAAAGCAATGAATCCTTTCCCTGTGGGTCACACCATAAATGATGACTAACCAAAGGTCAAGCATACTTGGTCAGGAAATTTCTGGCACTCAGGGTTGTGGCACCTGGGAAAGCTAGACACAAGAGTTACAGGGAGTCTCAGCTGAGCATAATAGGACCCAGTCACACACTGAACATCTTCAGAAGAACAGGCTTACCAGGGGACCAAGAAGTAAACAGCAAAGTTCCTCCAAGATCCACAGTACAAAACCAGAGGCTGAGAACCAAATCAGAAAGCCAAGTGATCTGTTAGGCCAGGCGGAATGGCATACCATTGGTAACACACCAATCTGCAGACCTCATGAAGGCCTATGCTGCTAAGAAATCTACATCCTCTTACATACATGCTGACTGGAGGCTTGATGCCACGGAAGGTGAGCAGGACGAGTATGGCCACAGAGCCCAAAGGCTGGGCCATCAGAGTGAAGACACGGATCAGTATCAGCTGGAGGAGGAGGAAGGGCCTGGCCTGGCCATTAAGAATATGTAGGCAAAGGAAAGAGAGGTTGTGAGAAGCATAAACACCATCCCACGAGTAGGCGCTGGAGGACAGATGTAGAACTGTGTGTGAAGAAAGAAATAAAAATATAAAAGCACACAACTTTATCTGAAGTGCTTTTGCAGGGTGGAGAGCAGGGTTTAGAAAGCAAAAGCCCACAGCTCATCAGTGATGGCCCAGTGTTCTGGAGAAATACATAGCTGTTCCCAGGTCGACAGCCTAAAGAAACTACTCAAGACAGTATGGGTACCATAGGCCTCCCCTAAGCACTGAACATTTGGCCGCAGCGGGCTAAGTTCCCAGATGAGACTTTTTTAAGCAACAGGCAATTGCATGTGGACAGTATTTTTTGGGTTATCTAGGTACAAATGCTACACAAACACTTCCGATTTCTTAAGAACCAGAGCCACGTTGGGAAATCTGCTGTATGGACAAATGTATCTCTGAGTCCTCACAGACTCCAGGTTGTATCTTGTACATTTAAAACAGAAAATATTGGGTTGGGGGTGTAGCTCAACAGTAGAGCACACACGTGCTTTGCATGCAGGAGGCCCTAGGTTTGATCTCCAACACCTAAATAGATTAATATATTAATTTTTTTAAAATGCTGACTATAGAGACCTACCACCACGTTCAGTTTCCTGAAAGAAACAGGCCTGAAAAACTTGCTGGAGCCAACATGTGGGATGGGGCAACCTGGGTCCTCAACCAAAGCTGTACTCTTGAGACTGGAGCTCTTTCCACTTTGCAGAGAGCCAATCTTTTCTTAGTGAGCATGCATGGGACCCTAATCTCAGCTTCAGGGCTGTCACACTACTGAAGCCCAGGGATCACTTGCTGCCAAAGCTGTTTGCTAACACAGAGCACGAACACAAGAATGTCTGCATGTGCAGACGCTCAAACCCACCACACGAGAGGAGTTCCTCTAACATTGTACTTTTCAAACCACATGGACCTCAGAAGACATGCAGCAGGCCTGCCACAGCTCATAATATATGGCTTTATGCACGCCATTCTGTCTGTCTTAGGAAGGATCTCCACTTTACAGACACAACTGCCCCTAAATACCTAATTCAGGGCCACCCTGGTATGGCCACCCAGTGCCTTTCTAGTACCTGCCACGTAACGACTGCTCAGCCAGCCTTGCAGGCTCATCTGCACCGAGCCTGGCCTCACATTGATGCGGCATTGCACATCAGCCTGCTACAATTCTTCCAGAAGAACGAGGGTCATGCTGATGCCATTTCAGAGGCAGGAAAGGGCAGCAAGACACATGAGCAAGAACAAGGGATTGAAGGACAAGAATTGATATCAGCTTACCAGTCTCCACGGTCCCTATGCTAAATGCAAATACTGCCCACCAGTAGGCTGCTGGAAGAACTGAGTCTCTAAAATACAGATTCTAAACACAAAGCATAATACATGACACACAGGAGGCCCAGGCAGTTCTCACTGACTTCTTATAAGATGAGCCAAGGTAACTCAACCAGAAAATGACACAGTGGTTCTCACATCCAGGTATTTTTCCTCCCGATTCAATGTTTCTTATAATTTGTACTATTAAGGAGGAGGGAAAACAGGGCCACAAAACCATTACTTGGCAACTAAAAACCAATTCTAGTATTCTCAAAACTACTCAAAGGTCTGAGGGAAGGCTCACATGGTAGAGCACTTGCCTAGAATGTGCAAGCCCTGGGTTCAAGCCCTAGCACTATAATAAAATAATAATAATTTAAATAAATTACTAAGGGGCAACTGGACACAAGAGCTGAGGTCCACAAGCAAGGGGTGTATACCTGAGTGGCGAACCAGCACAGACAGGTCGTAACGCCTCTTCCCTTCACTGGCACCACAGAGGAGGTCTTCCTTCTCTTTGACACACGCGTACTTTGTGTCCCACGTGAAGAAGTAGGTGCAATCGACCTCCCCCGTGAACACAGGAACTCCTCTCCCATCATTACCTGCATGACATGAGAGGAAAACATTACATTCCCCAAACCAAGGATGGTCAGAGGAGCGAGGGAAGAAACAGAAACCAGGACCAAGCACCTGCCCAGTTAAACACGAAATCCAGTTTTTAGAGTCCCAGGGTCAGGGACGAGAGTGACTTCCATTAAGCTCCACACACTCACACATGACCCTGGCTAACAGTCTGCATCCCTTTCCTCTCAGTAAAGCCTGACCACTCAGGCATCACGGGATGTTGTTTAGGACACATCAATGAAACGAAGAGAGAGCTAAAGAGGAGCACGTGGTGATCTCTATCCCATTTCTACACGGAGAAGAGGAAATGCTTCTTGTTTTTCCCATTTCTCCCCCATTTTTATCCTGTCATGCTAAACTCCTTTCCTAATAAATTTTACTATTACTTTTAGTAAAAAAATAAAAACAGAAAAAGGGGCATGTAGGGATGGCGGAGTGGCTCAAGTGATAAAGCACCTGCCTAGCAAGCGTGAGGCCCTAAGTTCAAACCCCAGTACTGCCAAAAAAGAAAAAGGAAAAAAAAAAAATTAAAAAACAGGGCGGGGGGAGCACATGTGGGCAACAGAGCAGGCCTCTGCCACTCCAGGCTGTGGTCAGCCTGCATGGGACTCCAGAAATAGGACAGAGAGCAGAGCGCCAGATCCCAGAGTGTCACAAACTAATGATGTAATCGTGTCAATTCAAGTTTCCTGGGACTTGTCCCAGTGTCGGAGGAGAAAGCACAGAGAACCCCTGCAGCATCTCCAACTGCAGCACTCGAGATTCAATGCCAACCCCTTGAATCAGAGGCACCTCCAGAGCACTGGTGTCCTGTGACCTGATATGTGTTTGCAACAGCCCCTTGAATCAACAGCCACCACCTCCTCCTCACCCCACAGAGCCCCTGGCAAGAACAGGGAGGCACGGTTCTTCATAGGCCACTTCCACATAGCCAGGCTTTACAGTCAGGATTCAGCAAACTCCGCTGCCCTCCCCTGCTGGAAACCCTATCCCTTCGCCTTTCCCAGCTAGTGGGCCACTGGCACGGGGTTCCTTATTTTTCCACCCTTGGTGGTTTCATAATCCTTGCCTGAACCTCCCACACGTCTGCCTACCTCCTTGAAAGTTGGTGTCCTGAGCTGTTTCATGTTCTAAGGAAAGGGGAAGTGAGGTTTTGCACCAAGGGCAAATGGTGTTTCCAACATAATTTCAATGAAATGTTGAATTCTATCACCTTTCTGAGTGAAACACCAGCATGCACAGCAAAACTGTTCCAAGCACAAGCTGAGCCAGGTGCTAAGTGAAGCATCTTGGCTGCACCGACAGACACTGCACAGAACTTATGCACCAGTGTACCTGTCCTCAAAGCCTATGTCATGGGGACAATTTTAGCCCCAGTACATAGACTTAGGGAAGCTAGATAACTCACCTATGGAATCATGGCTAGAAAGGAGGGGGCAAGAATCAAACACAGATGGTGTAGCCCTGGTCCTGAGCTCATAACCACAAGACAGGAGCTCCCCATTCTACTGTTTCTCTATTTTCCTCTTTTTTTAATTTTTGGTTTTTTTCTCCTTGTGTTTTATTTGGTCAGTTGGTTTAGCTCTGTATTAATTAAGTACTGTAAAATCATTCTTTTTAAGAAAGACTGACTCCTATTTTCCTTTCCTGGGCAAGGTCCACAACCCACAGCCTGCTTCCCATAGCTGGGACCCTTGTGCCCAGGTGTGACAGGTGCAGTAGCTGTGTCACTCACTTGCTTTGAATCTGATACTGGATTCACAGCTTAAGCTAGCTATCTCACAAAACCTTGTTTCTGTAACCTATGCGCTCATTGTGGTTTTTTTACCAGATAAGGCTGCAAACAACACAGTGAAATCAGGAATAGTTCTAGAACTTGTCCTCCGATTTAGCTGGTTTTGCACCTGAAAGTAGCAATCTGCAGGCAGCATTTATCTGAATTGTTGCTTGTCATCTCTTATTTAATCCCACGAAGGACCTGAATAGAAAATTATGCCACCACTCCCTCTACCATGTGTTTGTTTTTAAGCATCATGGCTCTACCCTGAGCCTTCCTGGGGCCTGTGGATCCCACCCATCTGTCAATAGGATCAGCAAGAGTTCTTCACCATGTCTCCTTCACACATGGACTAGGACTCAGCGGTGCCAGCCTGGGTCCCAAGGCTCTAGTTTATCTCCCAGCACACCATTTTACATGGACCCACAGGATCTGATGTCCACAACCAGCTGAAGGGGCAGGAACAGGGGCAGCACTCCCTCCTCCATTCCTTTGCAAAGACAACACTCCTTTTCCCAAACCGTTGTATTTCCCTCGAGGGATGGAATGAAACTCCATTTCCCAGGCTCCCCTGCCTGTAAGGCTTAGCCAAATGACTCAATTATAGCCCATTAAAAAAAAAAATGCTATTCCCATTCTGCACAGACTGAGCCGACAGCAACACAAGACAGAGCTAGGTCCTCAAATGACATATGAAGCAGAGCCCCCAGCCCTGTCCTCAGCTACCTGCGCTAAGCTAAAGGACACTAAAGGACACAAACCTCTCACTGACAGAGCCACCTAAATTTGTGAGTAGTTGTTTTATTAGTCTATCCTAATATATTTTACTCTTCTTAAAAAATCATCCTAAGTCCTTATTTAACAGGATCACCAATAATAAGGCACCACTTTACAGCAAAGTAAATGAGTTATTTGAAAAAATAACTCGTACACACACACACACACACACACACATATGTATGTACGTATCATGATCAAAATAATAAAACATATGCACCCTTTCAGACTTGAAATACATACATAAATAATTCCTGGAGATCCAAATCCAACTTTAACTATAAAGCACATTGTCTTGTATTACACAGCCAATTAGCACCCACTTACATCCAAACTACATCCCACTACATAGTAATGAGACACAGCTGTGTAGGAACATGGCACAAAGAAACACACTGAAACCGCTGAACAACACAGGGGAGGGAGAAAAGAGGGATGAAGACAATGGAGAGGTAAGACTGATTTAAGCACAATATATTTACAAGTGAAATACCAAGGCAAAATCCCCACCAAACAACAAACAACAAGGAACAGGAATATAAACAGGTCATGTTACAGGGAGGGCATTGGTGGGAGGGGGAGGGTAACAAAGAGGGAAGAGGAGGGTGATATGGTTGAGGTACTTTCTATGCATGCATGAATATGGAACACTGAAACCTGTCAAAGTCATTTTAAGAAGGGGAGTGGGTTAGGAGGGAGAATAATGGAAGGGATGAACCAAACTGGGGTATAACGTGTATAAACAGAAATGTCACAATGAAACCTCCTGTATAACTATCATTTACTAATAAAAATATTTTAAAAAATGAAAAAGAATACAGACTACCCAATAAACACAAACTTCACCAAGAGATTTTTAAGTGATTTTATCTGAAACTCCAAGTTTAAATTTGAATGAAATAATGACAGAACTTTACAGTGTATAGTATGCTCAGAAACTGGAGTACTGAATTGCACAGCAGGAGGAATGAGGAACATTTTATAACCAACCCGGTCTGAGAGGAGTTCAAATTCCCCCAACATCTCTCTGCAGGCTCCTGGTTGCAAAAACAGCCTAGCAAAACACTCATTTTTTGGGATCAGGGTACCACTGCTCATTCTTTCAGGTGTGGTAATGGGAATGGGCCACAGGAAGCAATGTCCTTTCTCGGCATCAGGGTTGGGTGATATGGTACGTTGATGACATATGGCTTACAGGAAGCAAATTTGGCAAAACTTTTAATGGCTGTTAGAGGCAGCCATATAAATTTTCATTGTAATGTTCTTCATATTTGTATGTCTGAAAACCTCTATAATAGAAATGAAAAACAGAAAAGAAATAGCCTCTCGCATGTTTCAAACCTTAACCCATCGACTTAAGCTTTCTCGCCCTCACTGTGAGTCCACAACTATCTCTTCACATCTTCCTTGTCCATCTGCTGTTTCTAGGTCGTCACTCCACTTTCCCCAAATGAGACCCGCACAGCCCACCTGTAATCCTAGTTACTCAAGAGGCAGATGCCAGGAGGATCACAGTTCGAAGCCATCCCCAGGCAAATAATTCCCAAGACCCTATCTCAAAAAAACTCATTACAAAAAAGAACTGGTGGAGTGGCATAAGTGGTAATAGTGCCTACCTAGCATGAGGCCTTGAGTTCAAACCCTAGTACTGTCCAAAAAAATCTCAACCCAGTCATCATAAAATCCCTGAACAGACAGGTCACAAGAAATGGGCAGTAGGGAAGCCAACTCGGACCACTGAAGCCACCAGACAATGTGGCAGGGGAGTCCAAAAGAGCTGGGACCTTGCCCAGGGCCTGACAGCTAGGGCCACGGAAGTCAAAGTAGGCTGTATAGCCCACTGGGAACATAGAATTCAGAATTTACAGCAGGCTCCTCACTAGGAGTGAGAGTGAGGGAGAATGGTGAAGAACTGGAGGAGGAGCAGAGTGCTCCAGCCAGCTAGAGGTGTACCAACAGCCACTGAAGACTTCTCTCACACAGGATGCTTCATCTGCATCCAGATGGAGCCAGATCTCTTAAGCACAAGCTTCTCAAAATACTGCTCCACTCGCCTGTCTAGGCTCACATTCAGCCATGTATGAGCACAAAGCCACAACCTGCTAACAGCTACCCAAGTCCATGCCTTTGAAGGGCATGCTGGGACACAAGACATGTGCCTTGTTGCCGTCAGCCTGAAGCTGGAGAAGCCCCTGCTCCTCTGGGCCACCTGACCAGCTCAACCTGACTTGGGGCCTCCTTTCTGCTATAGGGCCAGTGACAACACTGGGCAGTAGCTTCTTTCTAGGAGTTTCCCCTGCACTTCAGCCACTACACCCCTTACCTCTCTCTGTTTACAAATTGTGAATGCCTGGAGGGCCATCTGCCACCACACACTCTCAGGACTGGCAGGGCCTTAGCAAATAGGTACTAAAAAATATGTTTGCCTTAAGAGTGATAAGAAAGAGACAATGGGCTACAGTGAAAGACCAGGCCAACTACTGACCACTCCAAGTGTTGTGACCAGAGTGCATCTCCAGCTGAGCCACCCTTGCCTGTTTTGTGCTTGCTCACTAGCAAGTTTGCAAGAGCTCACACCCACCTCTCCCAGATCCTATAATGAATCATGTAGGATTGGCCTGTGACCAAACCACTAAGCCCTGCCATAGAAACATTCAAAACAAACAGAAGGCAGGAGCCAGAAAGACCCTCAGAGGTAGCCAGCTGCACAGATAAGCCTGGAAACCATCCCAGTTCCAAAAGAAGAGCTCAGTGCAGAACAAGGTCAGCCTTGTGGTAATAGGGGCACAAGCCTAGGGTCCATAGATGTGGCTGATCTCCAATGATGACAGAAAACCAACCACCTGTCTAGAGCTGCCACATGTATCTGAAATCTTTAAGACACAGAGAGCAGCGAGCCAGTGCCTTGGTGGCTCAGAAACATCCTAGTCAGGCAGAGAAAGCCAGGCCTTCCAAATCCACACTGCACCACAGGGCCATCCCTCTTGTGAAGGGTTATCTTAAAACTCATAGCATGAAGGAAGACATACCGACTTGATGCTGGTAAGTAAACCCAGAATTCAAGGCAGAACTCTTCCTAGCAAACCAGTGCTGGGCCTGTTCCCAAGACAAACACACACAGCAGAAGAAAACGGAAACAGGATGTATGTGTCGGGGAGCAGAGAAAGGGGATATTACTCCAATAGAAAAACCCAGTCTGGGGACTAGAGGTGGCCAGGTCCAAAGGAGGGTATCGGACTGCTCCATTCAAAGACAAAGACACACACACACCCCTCTGACCCACGGAAAGAGCAGGGGTTGAGACCCAGTGCTCACCTGCAGTCTTATTGCACTCAAAGTTTATGATGCTCATCCGTTGAAAGCCAGAGCTGCATTCGTCACCTCCAAAATAGACCAGGGTGAGATCTCCATCGGAGTACCTAAATATTTGTGAAGATACATGCAAATGTGTTTTGTAAACCGAGACAGAAACTTGAAGTTTTAAAGATAGCTTCATTCAGCCTTCCACAAGCCATCACCAAATCACTACTGACATAAAACAGCAAGCTCTCTAGGCAGCTGTGGAATATGTCCTAAGGAAAAGAGGTCCAAATGTTCAGGTTTGTCATCCTTGTGCAACATATTAAAAACAGGCTGGAGGGAGCGCCCATTGCTCTCACTTTTGGGTTCTGTACAAATCAAGTAATACCCAAGAATCAGACAGCCTTTCTTTTCCACCATCTTACCTAAAGGAGCATGGCTAACACTCATTTTCAGAGAGCTATACCTTCATACTGCTTTTGAGAAGCCACCTAGCAAGTTAAGGTCACAAGAATTGCACTAAATGAATGTGTTTAGCTATTTCTAATGTTTGGATAGCTAACAGTGTTTCAGATTCTCAAACTGCCAGGGGAAAAATCAAAAGTCCTCACAGGCATAAATTTCAAAATACAAAAGCCCTGTCAACTGTAAATAACTGAATAAATTTCCTACTATATGGCTCCTTACAAACAATAGCTTTACAAAACAGCTTTAACAGACTCACTCTCATTGTAAAGTCAGGCGAATGGCAATGTGCCTAAGTCAAACAGGAAGGAATGTTGGCCTCACTGACTTTCCTGTGCATAGGGAACTGGGAGGAGGAAGGGGAGCAGGGGAGTGAGTTGTGTCCCACAAGAACACAATGCACATGCAATCACGTAGAGGCTTTTACACACCGGAGGGTCTGGTTCTGGTGTCTTCCTGCTATTTTGGCTTGAGTGGAGTCAGCCTTTTTCACTTGGCAAACTGCAGCCTCTTTGTCACTACAGATCGGAACCTCCGAATTTCCACAGACATTCATAGAAAACATATATTCTTTTCCATCAGCAACATAGGACCCTACAAAAGTGATAAACGAGAAGGGCTGGTTTACATGGACAGCTATAAAAAGCATCACAGTCCTTCAGGCAAACCCAACCCATCTCTGTGAGCCACGTACAGCCCTGCCTCAGCCAGCTGTCAGGCTCCCTAGCCACACTCTTTCTGAGCCTCACAGAGGCAGGGCAGAGCAGTGGCTCCTACTCACCTCTCTGCTGGGCAAGGGGACTGAGGTCAATAGCGATGTCGTGCTGCTCACTGCTCAGAGCGCAGGTTCCACTTTCCAGGTAATCTCTGTGGCAGGCGTACTCAGTGATCCACTCAACCTCGTAGCGGCAACTGGACTTGGCAGTGAGTTTGGGAATAGTGCCCTGTCAGGAATAACATGAAAGAAGTGGAATGGCAAGTTTTAAACGCAGCTTAAATGCACATCTCCAATGCTTCCGACAATCGCAGAGAAAGGTTTTTGGGTTTTGCATTTTTCTGCTCCTGGTTTTTGAATTGCATTTGCCTGATATTCTGACTTACAGTAATTCCATCTACTTTTACCATTTTTAAAACTTCTTTTTACTTTATTTTAACTTTTTTTTTTCACCTGACATAGCAACTCCATTTCCTTTCTGGTCACCTTCAGGGTGACATTCAAGCTTCAGCGAGCAAGACTGCCCTGATTTCAGGGTCACGGAGAACAGTGAGGACCCTGGCGAGCAGCCTGAGCATCAAGGTCTTTGCTATGACAGGGACCTGCCAGCATCCTTCACCATTCACTCCCAGGATGGGCATCAGAGGCCTCAGCTGGGAGACATGTGATGAGGCAAGGCCTGGGCTTCACCCCCAGCAACTTTTGTTTTGTTTTGCTTTTTGTTTTCACGATTTTGTGGTTTTTTGGTTGTTTGAGACAGGGTCTTGCTGTGTAGCCCAGGCTGGTGAGTGCTGCGATTACTGGCAGGTGCTACCATATCCAGCTCAGAGCGGCTTTGAGGGCAGCTGAGGTAGTGCCCAGACCCCTGTTCAGTCTTAGGAAAGGGTAGGGACTGTCTCCCTGGATGGAAACACGTATGGTGGCATTCCTTCAGCACTGGGGCTCCCATGAACCACGTTTCCTTTCCTCCCTTCACGTCTCTTTCCCCACAGCAGTTGGCTCCCTGTTAAACACTTGATTCAGCTGTCAAGGTGGCATACGACTATAATTCCAGCACTTATTTGGGAGGCTGGGCAGGAAGGCCAGCTGGGCCACAGTGACACTCTCTCAAAAACACCAAAAAAACAAAACAAAACAACAAAAAAAACCACACACCCAGAAGAAGAAAGCAAAGCAAAAAGCAAGCTGCTTTCCATAGAGAGCCACAGGGGGAAGACCTACTGGGGGTTTGTCTCCCCCTTTCCCTGCACCAGTCCCTTGCCCTAAAAACAGACGTGAGGTCACTTGGGACAACCCAGGATGAGGTTCACAGCTTGAAAGCTATCTTAAAACAGGTCACTCACCTCTCTCCGCTCAGATGGGCACACAAATGTAATTGTCACTGCGGGGCTGTGACCATCACAAAAGTCTGGATCCCCTGACCCTTCCTTCACATAGCTCAGAACAAGCCTGCAAAATCCACATGGAGAAAGGGTGTTACAAAAGTATCAATTACATTCACATTACTTGTTGCCCTTAGCATTCAGCAAACGGGGTAAGGGGCAGCAGAAGAAACAAACCAATGAAAGAAGATAGCATATACAATAACTTTATTCCATGTCAATATGGGAGGAAAAAAAAAAACTTAAAGAGCTTCAATGAGCTCTATCGTTAAAAGTTCAATAAATAAATGACCAGTGTGTAAACTGAAAATACCAAAAAACACTAAGGAGAGCAGTTTGAGTAAAGAACACTTTTTGTAAATGACCTAACAAACAAACGACCACAGCCAGGCAGGCCGAGTGCATTGCTTCCTATGAGGCCAAACGAACTTTCCTTTTCAAACATCAACCTCTAAACACAAACCAAATGGCTTTCCTATGAAAGGAAGGTAGCCGGCTCAGCAGCCACATGTGGGCTCTCCCCCAGAGCCCAGAGCCCCGCAGCGCAGCCCTTCCAGGAAGCGCCCCATGCTGGTCAGCAGACTCCCACTCTCACTGTGGGACCTGCCCATGGTTCCCTGCATGGTGACAGAAGTGCTGAAAATAGATGACCGCCTCTTCTCCTAGACAAGCTCATGCTCTGCACAGTGCCCTACATTTCACCAAACCCTCGGCGGCCTGCCCAGGATTCTGAATCACCAATTTGTCACTCTGGACAACCTCGCTCACGATTCCTATGGTGGAGCCATAATCCACGTGCCTCAGCAGTGACTGTGGGAGACAGGGACTTCAAGTGGCAATAAGTAAAAATGAGGTCAGATGCTGGGCCCTAGTCCAAAAGTGCTGGTGTTCTTCTAATAAGAGGATAAGCACAGAGACACAGAGGGAAGACCATGTGAGGACACAGGGGAAGATGGCCTCCAACAAGACCGGGACAGACCTCAGGAGACAGCAACCTGGCCAACACATTGTCTCAGAATTCCGCATCCAGAGTGCTATTTATGGTCCCCGATGTGTGGAATTTTCTTATTACAGCCTGAGCAAATCAATACAGACACACATACAGAAAACTACCAACACCTTCCAATTTAGGTTATCCCCCAGTGCTCTCTTCATGTGAACTGTGGTCTGTAATTGTACATGGTTCCTACAATTACCCTGGTACACCACTGGTTCCAGAATGCAGCCAGGAGAAACAAAGCATGTGCACAGGCCTGGGGATGAGAAGATCAAAGTCCTTGACCTGCGCTCAGGATGTGACCACACGTAACATGCTGGAGAAAAACACATTCTCGCCAAGGTGAGGCAAGACAGAGTACAAGAAGCATGTGCCAGTACCACAGCTTATCACAAGGAAACCTCCCTCCACTGAGAACCAGGGTGCCCACTGTCCCGGCCAGGGGGAAACGCTGCACTCTGGAGGTGACTGGCAAACTGCCCCTCCTGTCTCTTGCCCTACAAAGAGCAGATGACCATGGAGAACTCCACGGGTCACCCCATGAAAACTCTGAGAAGGAGCCTGAGAAAGGGTATCTCCTGAAGCAAATGCAGGCAGCAGGCCATGACCAGACAGTGAGTGACAATTAAATAGCTGATGAGGCTCAGCTGTCACCAGTGTCCTTAGAAGCACATCATGTGAAGCAGCAATTTTGTAAGCCTCTCCCAAGCTGTTCCCTAAGCCAGGTTTGTTGTTGTTGCTGTTGTTCTTTAATGCATATAACATTCTTTTCGTTCATGCATATAACATTATTTAATTACATTCACCACTCCTACATGTACCTCCTCTTACCACCCAGCCCCTTCCTCTTCCCTAATAGTCCCCCAGAAAGTCAGGTTCTTGTTGATTAAAAAGGCAACCACTGCAGAGGCCACAGACTGACCTGTCCTTGCTCACCAGCTTCAGCCCCTCCTTGGGCTGGCCCACATCAAACGCTCGGTCTCCTCTCAACAAGCAGGCTGCAGTGCCAGCAGGACAGACGCGCAGCTGTGGGCTTGAATCCCGGAGAGCATCTGCAAAACATCATAGATTATATGAAAGCAGAGGAAGCATGGTGCTCACACACATCCTTAGGTCCAGGGTCTCTTTAAACAAATGATTGGATTTTCAGACTCCACAAGTACCCACTGGGTGAGCCATTTGCCTCTGAGCAGAAGCACAGGTGAGGGAGTGTGAAGTGCTGCTCTGCCCAACACCGGTGAGGGACATCATCTGTGCTTAGGAAACATCCCACCTTCACCTGCTGGTCCCTACCGTTAGCATTACTCCCTTAAGCTATGAAGAGACTAGGAAATGCAGCTCTGTACAGAGGAGCAGAAACTTTCAACTAGTGGAAAGAACCCAGACAGTCTGGACGCATGTCCTAGATTGACCACACTCTCTGACTTTGGTCTAAGCACAGACTGATGCAGCTGCCTGAACATGCAAGGTCTTATGGACTGCAGCAGGCCAGCTATGGAGTCGACCACTGTGTTTCTCCTGACTGCATGGCTCTCCTCACATTGGATCTTTCTTACATGCTACTGGGTTTACTCATTCACTGTGTGTCCTCTCCCACACAGCCACAAACTCCAGGAAAGCAGAAAGTCTATATGACCTCTGTCATCCAGCCCCTCAAGCAGTGCCCAGCCACAGGAGGGTTCAACTCTACAAGGGAGGTGCTAACACTGCCTCCCCAGGCAAATCAGGAGGGCACCCTGCCTCCTGCCACAGGAGTCACTAGCTAACAAACAGGGAAGCACACCTTCTGCTCTCAATCCCTCCAAACGCTGCACGGTATCAGAGTCCCACTTGATGGGCTGTTTGGTTCCACACATAGTGCCTGCTGTGCCCAGGCTACTGCCTCACAGGACAGATAGACTGACTGCCTGAGTTCCCAAAGGGAAAGGAAAGGCAAACAAGGAGTGAACACACAGCCACATATCCAACTATTCATGAGGGGTGGTGGGTCACATTCAAAGCCAGTCTGAAACTATGGACCATTTCCTGGAGGAGAAGAGTATCTGAGCAAAACTGGGGGAGGGGGTAGCTTTCTAAGAACCAAAATGGCTGATCCAATCCAAACTACCAGTAAACTAATTGGAAAGAAAAAATAACTTTTGTAAGAAAATACCCAGCGGATTCAAATAATCCTCAGAAGGATGAAAGACCAGAAATGCTTTCCAAATGAAAACAGCATATTGTTTCAGAAGTCAATAATTTACGAGACTCTGACTTTATAAACAAACTTGAGTTACTGACCCACTTAGGACAAAGACGTTATCGGCCTCTCTCCAAAGACCAATAAAGGATGTCCTGGAGAGGGGAAGAACGATGTAACCTGACACACACAAAAAAAAACCCTGAGTTCATCGCTGGTCAGTTTGGGGATTTTGTATGTGAAACATATTTATTATTTTTTCACTGTTCAGGAGTACTACACAAATAAGATGGCATGCAATGTATGTGCACAATTTAAAGAACAAGTGTAAGTCAATAGCCACCTATCTGCCACCCAGTGAGCACCCTTACACATTGTTTTTAAATTTTTCCCAAAAATTTTCTAAAGCTTATCTTACGTATTATGTGAGAAATAGAAACATAAGGAAAACACTATGTTTTGTTGTTTGGTTGGTTTTTGGAGACACAATGTTGCTATGTAGCCCAGGCTGGCCTCAAACTGAAGACTCCCCCATCTTGGCCTCCCAATTGCTGGGACTATACCTCTTTTACTCCTTAATTGTCAGTAAATTTTACTCATAGAAAATCACTGCCAGCAATGACTGTCCTGTCCTCTGGGGCTCACAATTCACAGCCCTTGAAGGAAACATAAAACTAGGGAGTTTAGCACACTAGGAGTGGCTAGTCTAAGGGCTTTGTAAACTTTCCACCGCCCTTTTTAAATAAAAGCCACTTCCCAACAGCCTTTGCCTAATTTAGTTGATACCCAAGCTTCTCACAACACTTCTGACATCTAGAAAGTCACTCCACCCAAAAACACCTATTATGACCAAGTATCCAAAGCCTCTATCACCCCTCGGTCCCTTTTACCCAGCCTACAACTCAAAACCAAGGGACATAAACACACAATAAGTTGGACTAACCCTTCCTCACTATGAACTCTGAACCCCAAAGTGCCTGGCAGAGAAAACACACTGGAAGGAGTAACAGTTTGGAGGGAACTTTAAAGGCACAGAATCAGAATTTCCTGGGGGAGAAGAGCACAGAGATCATCCATCAGGATGAAAGCTTTCTTAGAGGGCCTAACTGGTATTGTAGATCTCCAAAAGGAGGAATAAAGGCAAAAATGGTGCAGCCTTGTAATTAATTCATAATCACTACCCCACAACACATCAAGACACTCACTTATGTCTCTACACACGTTGATGAATAGAGAAGTGTCGGGATCAGAGTCATCCACCAAGTAGCCACCACTCATCTTGATCAGTGGGTTTAAATCGTGCTTCTTTAGCTCTTTATCAAACACATAGCATGGCACCTGGAGAGAGAAAGACAAAGAGTGAGCCTTCCCTCACCACATACCTTGAGGCTCATGGATCAGACAAGGCTACGATCAACATCACACAACACTCATCTCCATTCCTCAGGGCCTGTCAGGCCATGATGGCCCGCACGGGCAGCAAAAGTGGACAAGCGTCCATCTACTTTCTTCCCCTGACTAGCATCACCCATCCTCCCTCTCTACTGGGCCATTTTCCTCCATACACTACAATATCCACTACCTGACAAGCATCCTCTCTTGTCCCTAGTCCCCCTCAACTATCTCTGCAATTCATACAAGACTCCTTGGTCCAGCACTGTTCATCAGCTCCTCTTCCTTACTCTCCCACCTCCCCAGTTCCCTTCTGAACACTTTCATTTCAGGTTGCTCTCCCCAACTCCGTCCAGGCCACACCTTCTGCTATCAGACATAAGGCCCATTTTCCAGCCCACTGAGCCTTACTCAGTGTCAAGAGCACATATTGTTGCTGACCACAGCCTTCTCCTGCAGCCCTGCCTTATCTTTGCTTCCTAAACACCCAGTGGCACCTTGTCTCCTTCTGCCCCACTGCAGGCTCTTTCTCGACCGCCTGCAGATATTCCTCGTCATTCTTCTAACTAAACGCAGAGGGCTCCACAGCCCATATGGGACACCTCTCCTCTGGGTCTGCTCTCCTCTGGGAGTGCCCTAATGAATGGACCTCCAGCTAGAGACCTCTACCCTTCACCTTTCCCCACAACTCCTAACTTGCAGAGCCAACAGGAGCTGCTGAGTTGATGAGCAGAGAGTATGGGGTCAAGCTCTATGCTGACAGTAGAACCCTGAACAAATCGAACCTCTGTGCCTCGGTTTCCCCATATGTCAGACCAGGATGATGAAAACAGTGACTTCACAGTGAGTTACTCATTCAGTGATGGAGTGAGCCCATGCCCAAGAAGCACCTGATATTGGTCCTGGTGAGTCACATGACAGTTCCTGCTTCATTTACAACATCACCACCATTGTCACTTGGATACACAAAAGCGTTTCAAATTTAACATACTTAAAGTGGGGCCTTGATTCCTCCCACCACACATGTCTTTACCCCAGTGTCCCCCACCTAACTAAATGGGACAATCATTCAACCAACTGCTCAGGTGAAAACCATGAAAGTGGGGGCTACAGTTGTGCTTTCTCTCACACTCTATACCCAACCACTGCCAACTCCTGTCACTCTGCTTTCAGACTATTCACTTCTCACCACCATGGCTACCCTTGTCCAACTGCCAGCCTGTAATAGTCTCTTAACTGGTTCCAGATCTGATGCCCTGCTAGCAACAACAGGACCCATCTTTCATAATGAAATCAGGCCACATCGCTCTATGCTCAAAAGCCTCCCAACTACGCAGAGAACCAAACCCAAACTCCTCCAAGATCCCCAGCCTCCTCTACCACTCTCCTCTCACATCACACAACCAAGCAGACCTCCTGATGCAGTTCTGCCCTTAAAAATTGGATATCGTGGCTCTCTCCTTCACTTCCTTCAGGTCACAGATGAAAGGTCACCATTTAGTAAGGGCTTTTTTGACACCTGTATCTAAAACAGAGTTTTCTGTCTCTCTCCATGACCTTATTCAGCCTTACATTTCTTCACAGCACTGACATGCTGTATGATACCAGATACTGCTATCATACACTAAACTGATGTGTCAGTTTACACCTCTCTCCTGAAGGCAGCCTAAAAGCTTAGAACAATGCCAGGAACATAACAGGATCTCAGTAAATATTGCTCAAGAAAACACGGAGGCTGCCTTTTCTCAATTTTAATTTATGACCATGCCTAGTCTCCATGAAGTAATGGCTTTTTATTTTCAAAGTGTCAAGGAACCCATTACACTCTTAAGCACCTGTACTTTAAGAGTTTTGTCACTAGCCAGTGACTCAGCTCCTGTGATCCTAGCTATTCAGGAGGCAGAGATCAAGAGAATAATGGTTTGAGGCCAGCTCAGTCAAACAGTTCACAAGATGCTATCTCAAAAATACACAACACAAAAAGGGCTGGTGGTATGAGTCAAGTGGTAGAGCACCTGACTAGCAAGCATGAGACCTTGAGTTCAAACCCCACTACCACCAAAAACAAAAGTTTTCTTCTTCCTGAAACAAAGCATTCAAGCACAAAGATGCATCCAGAAGTAAAAAAGGCACTGATCACCAAGAGGACAGAACATCACTGGGCACTGAGCCAGAGGAAGCAGCAAGATGGAGGATTGCTAACACTCCCCAGATCTCGGAGCCCTATAATCCCAAAGGAGGAGGAAACTTAGGGCCCCAGAGGACATATACAAAACATGGCCAAAGAGTAGCAGAGCTCTGCTCAAACACAGAAAGATAGAAGAAATAGGGTATGTGAAGAAACAGTTTGCATAACTGAGCATAACTACAGACTGTAAGTACTGTGGAGCTAGAAAGAGAGAAAGCTTCAATGACGGATGGCGTGAGACTGGCAAGTTAGTAGTACAAGCTCCAGAGATCCTACTATCTCCAAATACTGCTCCCTCCCCATCTTCAGACATCATTCCAGAGACAGGTATCCAACTAGACTGCCATCTAATGGACTGAAATACTCAGACACAAAAGGAGGGGGCGGATCAATGGCTCAGAAGAACACTAGAAAATTCACAATTACAAAAAATTTGTGTTTGTTGCTGTTAAGGCTGTAATGTACATTTGTTATTCAATTATTTGTATCTTCTTTCTCTGTACAGTCCAGCAGCAATTTTGCATCCTTGCCACCACACCTCTCCCCAATTTTCTCTTTAGTCCTACTTTCTCCTTCCTCCTCTCTGTTGTCATCATGAAAGCCCTATAACCCACCTTTCAGTTTGCAACCTTAAACCACTTCTTCTTCTCCCCTTTTCTATCCCCCTCCCCAACTTATACTTTGACCTATCAACAAGTGGAACCACTTCCCAGCTCTTAATTTCCTCATTCTGTCTACTCACCCACAATCCTCTTTCACTACCAATACTTTTACTGAATAGATTCCCAGATTATTTTTCTACTTTTGTTGTGTCTCTGTTTGTTTTGTCTGTCTGTTCAACTTTCTCCATTGTTTACCCTCTTTTTCCCCCATCTTAATATCTACTGGATCTCTACCTATTCCAGTCTGCATCTTAATTAAATCCCTTCTATTAGCTCGGTTTCCACCTCTTTCTGCTACGTAAGCTTTTCATGTCATATTATCTACTTAGAGATATCCTCCCTGTCTCACTCCCATCACCACCCTTACTACCTGTAGTCTTTCAGATACAAAATGCCATCTTTGCTCCTACTGACAAATAATGATACCAGAACAGCAGCAGTAATTGATCTTTGTGAGGGATTACTGTAATTTCATGGATACAGCTCAACAACTGTGATAGCTTCAGCAGCTAATGCTCCTCGCCTTATGTGTAACAGGAGGTAGCATACAGCATCTTGACAATAAGAACTGAAGGGTTTGCTATTGAGCCACTACCCCTCTCCCCCACATCTAAAGACAAGAAAACACAACAGAGCTCAACTACCACCCATCCTCCATTATCTTTCAGAAAACCCCAACTAAAAGGACACAGAGGACTGGAATCTCCAACCAAAACCTAACACAGAAACATAAAGCAATAAGGCAACAACTGTCCCTCAAAAGCCAACTCCATCACTAAGGATCTAAACAACAGTAAAGAGGAGGAAATATCAAGTATTGAAGTCAAAATAATAATAGTAAAAGTGATCAATGATCTCAAAGAGGAGTTTAGCTAGTAACTAAACTCAAAAAGCATATTGAACTCAAAGAGAATTCAAACAAACAGATGAGTAAAATTAAGAAGACAATGAAGGACATAGAAGAATCAATGAAGACATAAAAATCCTGAAAAATAACTAATTTGAAACAAACAGCTCAATATCCCAAATAAAAACCTCAATTGAAAACTTGGCTATAACAGAGTGGAGCAAGTTGAAAACAGAGTATCATGCATAGAAGACAAAGTAGAGGAATTAGACCACATAGTCAAAGACCCATGAAAAAATGCTAAGAAAATGTGACTGGAACATTCAAGATGTCTGTAACACCATCAAAATACCACATCTATGAATCATGGGTATAGGAGAAGGAGAAGAGATACAAACTAAAGGCAGAGGTAACTTATTCAATAACATAATAACTGAAAAGCTCCCCAATCTTGAGAAAGAGAGAGATATCCAGGTACAGGAGACTTACAGAACACCAAACTGTCAGGACCAGAAAAGAGACATCCCCAGACATATTATAATCAAAACATTCAATATATGGAAAAAGAAAGAACACTGAAAGCTGCAGAAGAAAAACAGCAGGTCACATATAAAGGCAAGCCCATTGAAGTAACAGCAGATTTCTCAACACGTACTCTAAATGCAAGGGAGGACATGCAAAGAAAACAACTGTCAACGTAGACTAGTTTATCCAGCAAAATTACCCTTCCAAAAAGAATGAGAAATGAAAACCTTCCACAACAAACAAAAAGTAAAGGAATTCATGACCACCAAACCAGCACTGCAGAAAACACTAAAAGGACTCTGACACACAGAGGAAATTAAAGTCAGCCAGAAAAATGCGAGAAAATAAATTCCTCTGAACAACTAGCAAACAAGAAATAGGGGAAAAGTAAAACACGGAGGGGAAAAAGTGACTGGAAATACCATATACCTCTCAATACTAATACTGAATGTCAATGGCCTTGACGGCCCTATCAAAAAGACACAGAATAGCAAGTTGGATTAAAAAACAAGACCCAATCAATTGCTGCTTACAAGAAACACATCTCACTGACAAAAACAAGTCAGGCACCAGTGGCTCATGCCTGTAATCCTACTCAGGAGGCAGAGATCATGAGGATCATGATTCAAAGGCAGCCTGGGCAAACAGTTCACAAAAGAAAAGAAAGAAAAAAACAACACTGGCTTAGAGTAAAAAGGTATAATGCAAAAAGATTTTCCATGCAAATGGACCCCCAAAACAGGCAAGTAGCTATACTTACATCTGACAAAGTAGACTTCAGACTAAAATCAGTCAGAAGAAACAATGAAGGTCATATTAATAAAAGGAACAAGTAGACAAGAGGAAATAACAATTCTTAATATATACGCACCAAACATTGGTGCACCCAACTACATTAAAAAAAACCTAACAGACTTAAATGCACAGATAGAACCCCCCACCACCACAGTGATAGTAGGAGACCTCAATACCCCCACTGTCACCAATAAATAGGTCGATCAGACAAAAAAATCAACAAAGAAACATCAGAATTAATAGACATTTTAGACCAAATGGACCTAACAGACA